ATAAACACTTCTTTAAAAAATATTTAAAATATTTTCATACATACATATATTATCTATTGAGACTATCCCCATTTATTTCTTACATATAAAGGAAAACAGTTGAATAGTCAGTTTCCTCATCTGGATCTTATGAGGGTATGTGAGGGTGATGACTTAAGCATGTGAAACCCCTGGTACCTGCCGTGCCTAGCCACCAGTAAGCCCGGAAATGCATTATCCGATGGCATTAAAAACCAGGAATTCCATTTGTGGATCCATGGCATGAAATCTGACGAGTTCTACAAAGAAAGTCTGTCTTCTCCGTTAACTTCCATTCTGTAGTTGCATCCTGGGGTGCTCAGTGTCGCCAGTGAGAACTTATGCCTCTAGAAGCTCTTTTATTCTTAGATGATATAGTTTTCAAAGCCAAAGTCAACTTTTGTGTCATATATCCACAACAGAAGTTCCTTATTAATACCAGTACATGTTTGAAACAATTTCTGTATTTGATCATTGCAAAGACCACTTTACTGGCTTGTTCCTTTAATTAATGTTTTTATTTTAGCTTTTCACATTCAGCCCTGTAGAATGGCTTAGTTTCAAATTCCAGGAAGATTTACATTAACTGTGTATATCAGAAGTAGAGGAAATATAACATATAATATGTTAGTTTTGAATACTTTAATGATCCCTGGAGTATATCTAATAAGACTGATTGGATTGTAAAATGAGCACATACACAGAGATATTTCAAAAATAGTATTTATATGTGCACAGATATGTGTGCAAGATGAATGTAAACTAAATGTCATGCTCATGAAAAAACCTACATTAAGGTGATCCTAGGGATTAATTGTGAGCCATAGCATATATGTCAATCCTTTTATATTTGATTGGTTCTTTTCTGATGGTAATAAGGCCATGTAAGCAAAATGTAAAATGTTGACTGCGATGTAATGGTTGAAATGTTTACATAATAAAATGGTCAGCGTGAGTTTATACTGTGATGGTGCTGTTGGCTGTTAATACTGAATCCATATTCTTAAAATGATCTATGGAACCATAACTGAATGCCACAGAGACAGAACCATAGTTGGTACATTCTTGTTTATTGACTCTCCTATCGAGTGTATTAACTACTCACTTGAGACTGCTGCTCTGGGGCTTGTTTGTTTTTCCAGGGTTGGATGTGTGAGCATCATAAGCTTACTCTTTTCTTTAAAAAAAATGTTTGTATGCGTGTAACACATACGCACACGAGAGAGAGAGAGAGAGAGAGAGAGAGAGAGAGAGAGAGAGAGACAAAGAGAGAGACATATACTTCTTGCACACTGAGAGAAACTAAGACACACACATACACAGAGAGAGACTGATACACACATACACAAATGCAGAGGTGGGGGAAGAGAGAGACTGACACACACACAGAGGGAGAGAGAGATACAGAGACGCACATATACACAGAGAGAGACACACACAGAGGGGGGAGAGGGAGGGAGGAGAGACTGACTCACACATGCACAGAGAGAGAGCCACACACTCACACAGACACAGAGGGGGGAGAAAGAGAGGGAGGGAGGAAGAGACTGACACGTACAGAGAGAGAGAGACTAACACACATACATACACACACAAAGAGAAGAGAGACTGACTGACTCACACATGCACACACACAGAGAGTCACACACACTCAGACACAGGGGGGAGAAAGAGAGGGAGGGAGAGAGACCGACACACGTACACAGAGACAGAGAGAGACAGAGAGAGAATGGGAGCCATGACACATGTGTAGTGGTTAGAGGACAGTTTTAGAATACAGTTCTCCCCTTACAGGGGCGGAACTGAGGTCATAAGGCTTGCATAGCATGTACTTTTACTTGGTGGGCCATCTTACCAGACTCATTTCCCTATCTTAGTGTATACATAAAAAGACAGACTCGGTGTGATAGCGATTTAAAACGGCATCTTTTCATTAAAAGTGCGTTACTATATCATTTGCTGCTTTTGTTCAATATGAGCAGAGATTTATCACGCTATTTGAAATATCCCTGATTTATAGTTATACCCTTTTGTATCAGTAAAGTGACTTGTCCTATGTTTTCCAGCAGGCATTAGATCCCATAGCAGTTTCTGAGGAAGGAGTCCTGTGTGGCTTCACAGTTTCTTTCTGCTGCCACTTGTCAACCATTTTTGTATAATGATAAGAAATTTTACTTAGTGTTTTTGTTGTTGTTTTTAATTTTCCTCTTTTAAATTAATACCTAATTTCTCCTTTCCTTTAGTTTCTATTCCTAGTCTAGTAGTTAATGTGTCTTGTAGTGTCTCTGGGTGATTATCTACTTGTTTTTGGTGGTATGTTCTACTCCTACAAAGTGAGCCCCGGGGAAAAGCAGCCAGCAGTGCTCTTCCTTTAAGTACTTCTGTCTAAAGAGTCCTTGCAGAATGCCTCCCTTTTTATAATTAGGGTGCACTGGTTAGTTTTGTCAACAATATGAACTAGAGATGCCTAAGAAGGAACCTCAGTTGAGGTTTGCTTTAGGTCTTGTTGGCAGGGCTGTAGGGTATTTTGTTGATTGCCAATTGATGTAGGGAGGCGCAGCCCACTGTGGTCACTATTATATCTGGGGAGGTGGGCATAGGTCGTAGAAGAAAGTAGCCGCTGGGGAGCCTGGGAACAAGCCAGTAAGCCACATTCCCCTGCTGCCTGGGCTTCCTTTGATGATGGTCTGTAGTCTATAAGCCATTTAAATTTTTCCTTAACCCAAGTTGCTTTTGGCCACTGTTTATCACAACAACAGAAAGCAAACTAGACCACATGGTTGTAAGTCAACATCTTTTCCTACAGAACTGTAGTATAGAATCCAGTTCGCTCATGATGATGATAGCCGTTGATGAGCCTGTGCTCCTCTCCTAAGCGGGCTTGTGGGTTGGCGTGGAGAATCATATTGCTTGTGGCATGGCTGTGTCAGGATTTAGCCTCTGAAGGTTTATAGGGAGCCGTTGTCGTCTGGTAGTATCATTTCTGTTTATAAGCCCACAGTACTCCGTTTGGAATCTTACTTCCTGTATTAAGCTCAGTTTTGCTAACAAAATTGTTTTGAGCTGGCACAGGTCTCTGGTTACAGAGCCTGAGAAATGGGTATTCTGTGCTTTGCTTATCTGACTGTTGTTATTACTCACAACCTTGGCTTCCCATCTGGGCAAAAGAGGCAGGCATTTCAAGTTTCCTAAGAAATTGTCAGTGTTTGTGCCTATAATCCTAGCATTAGAAGTAAATGAAAGACTTAATCTTCCTGGAATTGTTCTTCATATACTCTATTAAAAAATAAGCATACTTTTGAGATGTTTAAAGTTTAGCGACGGGGAATTCCTTCAGATTTTTAAGTCCATCATTGTATCAAGTTGAATTTTTGTAAAGTTGGGTATTATTGTAAAATTGTGTATTTGGGCTACTCAGTATCAAGTTGGATTTTTGTGAAGTTGTATATTTGGGTCAAGACCTCCATATAGATGACTTAAAGAATCATTATGTATTAGCGTGCTCTACCTTTTCACCAGGGGTTAAAGGGAAGGCGGTATGGCAAACATTTCTATTAGCTTTTGTAAAATCGCAGTTGCATTCTGTGGGTTCCGTTAGCTCTTATTCTTAATAAAGATTCATTTGATAAGGCTTAAAGCTTTATCCTAGTAGGATTTCCATCTCTGTTTAGAAACTGGTATCTGTTTCTTTACCAAGTGCTTTATAGCTTAATGCTTTCCTTCTTTCCGAGGTTAAGAATCATAGAACCAAGTTGGTTTTAGCTTGTCTGTTGCTTAAAATCTCTCCTGATGCTTTACTTCACTTCATTTGTCAAGTTGTGTTCTTTCCCCATTGTTATAATTCTTTTATATTCATAATGTTCTTGGAATCAGGCAATGCACAAACAATTGAAAGAGTTATGTCACCATTACATTTAATATCAGATTGTTTCTTTCAAACTAAGCATTTAAAAAAAGTAGTTGGAAATAATAAAAATCATAAGGTCTATTTAGAGAACTCCATGCTCAACTCTGAACACAGCTACCCAGAGACTAGCATGCTGTGAAAATGGGAATAGAGCTGGGCCTCTTCTCTAGGAACCTCTAAGACACGGCAGCTGAGGGTTCACACCGAGCATGGAAAAGTTAAAAAGACGAGCCCGCCTCCCTTCTCACTATGATATTCTGAAGCGATAGCTTAAGAGTGACAGAGTTATGTATTTCTACTTTGGAATTTTACATTACAATACATATTTCTGCTTTGGGAATTTTATATCACAGTTCAAACTATCTACAGTTGATAAAGTACCTTCAGGATCATTCTCCTCTGGAATATCTTTGGCATTACTTAAGTTGGAATATGCTTTTCAAGTTGGTTGGGCAATTCATTCTTTTAAATTGTAATTTTATATTCAGAAAAATATGAGGTGGGTATTCTGTGAGTAACACAGGATAAAAGTGACAATACTTATATGAAAAGATTTTTGTTTTGTGCTGGTTAGTGTTCGTCCTCTTGACTCACAGATGACATACATGGGGGAGCTCTCAACTGACAGGAATGTCTCCATGAGATTGGCTTGTAGGGAAGCTGAAGACTGTTTTCTTGGTTGTTGGTTAACGTACAAGGGCCTAGCTCACTGAGGGTGGTGTAGCCACTGGGCAGGTGGTCCTAGGTGCCATGAGAAAGCTGACTGAACAAGCTATAGGGAGCCAGCCAGTAAGCAGCTCTTCTCCATGGACTCTGCTTGAGTTCTTGACTCCAGATTCCCTGCGCTGCTTGAGTTCCTGCATTGATTCCCTGAGTAACTGTGCCCTGAGACTTGTAAGACAAAATAAACCTTTTACTTCCTAAGTTGATTTTGACCATGGCATTTTATCACATCAGTAGAAACCCTAAGACAGTCAGTTTAGCGTATTCTTATTGAGACAAATGATTTTCTTAAAAATGTATCTTACTTTGGTAGAAGTGGTCTGAGTCATCGCATCTGCTTGTTCTACCACAGGGTCCGGGATACTGGGTGAAGATTCATCATCTAGAGTACACAGATGGAGGGATCCTGGATCCGGATGACGTCTTAGCAGATGTTGTTGAAGACAAAGATAAGGTAGATGCCTCTAAAATGTTCTTCCTTTCCTTTACCAAGCAGCATATTTTGAAGCCTTTGGTTTTCCTAACAAACTCATGTGTTAGTTGTTATTAAAAGATACCATCTGTTCAGGTTGCACCTGGGACAGCTCATAAATCAAAGTTCTTCATCAGATGTTTGCCTGAAGTTCGTCAAAGTTTGGGGACTTGTTTGTGGGGGCCTAATTAGCAGACTCTTCATTCTCAAGAGTTCCATTATATCTGAATAAATTAGTGTCAGCCACAGAGGCTTTTGGAGTTGTTGCTGCTGCTGTTGGCTCTGGAGTTTATTCCAGACAGTTGCTAAATATTCATTCTAATGCCTGAGTTTGAACATGTTTGTGTTTACATTGAGAATATACTGGGGAATAGATGACTCATGAAGAACTATGGCGTAGATTTTTCTCAAAGTAGAAGTCACACTTTATTGTGTCTTTCTTTCATTGGTAACCCCCACCCCCACTCCAGAAGAAAAGAAGAGTGTTCCATTGAATATTTAAGAAACTTTAAAAATACTCTTACCTATTTGAGAATAATTCATCACAAATGTAGTGATTTAGTGGAGCTTTGCTTTGTTTTACTACTTTAAGAAAGGTATAAAAGTCAACTATATCATGGCTATACCCTGGATTATTGCCACGGAAATTACTCTGATTAATATAAACTCTAGGTTGTCCTCAGAAATGGAACTCCTTCCAAGGTTTGTTCCGTACACTCTTAGCACTGTTTGTAGGTTTTTTTTTTTAAATCTGTGTCATGTTTCTCTTTATTGTTTTCTGAAGTTTAAGGTGTGTGTCTGTATTTCAAGCGTATGTAAATCTTTTCAAACAGGTTTTGTATTTTATATTTTCTCTTGGCTCTTGGCTTGAGTGGCTCTGTATGGTAGTCAAACTTTTCATCAGAATTGTGGCCCCTTGAAGGCAGGTACTAAAGATCCTTAGCTCTTTTACATTCCGTGTGTATCAGCTAAGACATTTAATGACTGCTCTTTTGTTGTGGTTTTTGGAGGTAGGGTTTCATTCTAGCTGGTTTGATTGGCCCTGAGCTTAAGAAGTTCTCCCACCTCAGCCTCGTGTGTACTGAGTTTACAGCCTGAGCTATAGTGCATAGGTAAGCAATATCACATGAATCCCTCCCCCTCATCGCACCAGGAGATGGTTGTTCATGTGTTTTTCCCACCTCACCTTCTGCTTCCTCCCTGGGCACACCTTCCTGCGAGGTAGCTGAGATGTTTGGCAATCACATCTCAAGTTCCACTGCCAGTGTGTTCATAGAAACAGCAGGAAAATGCGACATTTTAAAAGGGACAGAAGAAACTCTTTCACCCTAACCTCCCCCCAAACCGCAGTTCAGGAAGGGAGTTTCTGTTAACAGCTGGGGAGATCTCCAGTCCGGCACTTTCCGCTGCTGCATTCTTTCTCTGCTTCTGCAAAGTTTTTAAAACCATACCCTGTTCTTTAGCCACAGAAGAAGCCTTATTGGGCTTAGTCTTTTTTGTAATAGGACTTGACTCTGTTATTAAATAAGGAGACAGAGGGAGATAATCATTAAAATCTTAGCAGAGTATACAGATATGTTGAATATAGCAACAAGTATTCTTCCAATGTACTTTCATGCCTCTCCATGAAGCCTGTCATTGTTCGACACAATCTGTGAGGATTTGATTTTTGGTGTTGCCTGAAAAAAAATCATTCTGGTGTCTTTCTTTTAAAAAAATGGTAGAAAAGAGAGAATTTTTGTTTTTCCTGATGCAGTCTTGTTTCCTCACAGTTCTTGTGTCCGCATGGAGCAAAGCACAACCTAGTGTGTTTCCTTTCTTTTCAGTCCCGTTTGAACGTGGAGTAGTTTCCTTGGATGGCTTGTGTATGCCCTGTGCCATATCAAACCTGCCCAAGATTGTCTGAGGCATAGTTGGGTTTTTATAAGCACCTATTTGTAAATTGGTTGCCTAATACTCTTTCACATATAGAATATGGACAGACAGCAGGCACAGACACACTTGTGTGGATGAACATGATCATCATGCTAAAGTCATAACACTTCCTTTGCTAGGATAGGCTACCCGCAGCAGGGAGTGGCAATGAGGGCCCATTGATAGCCTAGAAGCAAGGCATGAAGCAGCAAAGACACACATCGTGAATTCAAAAGTAGAATCAGCTAACATCGCTTCGCTTATGGAAAACCCACCTGTGCAGTTCAATAAAGGCTAAAAGCTAAAGGTGGAATGGTTTGATGTAAAATCACAGAAGGGTCTAATAGAATTGATTTAGTTTGCTGACAAGGTGTCTTCTAAAATACATGGTCTTGTTGCCCAATATCACACTTTTAAAACAGTTACATTGTGATCTGTTTTACTAGTTTTTGGCATGGTTGAAGAAGACAACTTCAACATAATATGGAAATATGAAAATACGTAACTTTTATGAGAATGGAATTGCTGCCATGACTTTATTAATTATGAAAGTAAACCTCTACTATATAGTACATCACCACAGGAATAGGGAGGGGCTATGCTTGCAGACAGGCCAGGAGTTCTTGTTGACTTGCACAACTGTGCATTGACCTTTGAATGCCAAGTGTCGTCTAGTTCTCAAGTCTCACACTATCAGCTCAGCTTTGTCTGTGCTTGGTATAGGTGCCTGTTAGACAGAGTGTAAGTGGTTCAGGGGCAGAAGAGTACCTTGGCAGATGGGGCCAAGGAATGCCCCAGAAATCACACCACGCAACAGATGCAACACAAGAGATTTATTGTGAGGTAGGCAAAAGGCCACCTCTGAGAGGAACAAGAGAAAGAGATAGAGAGCTAGAAAGAGATAGAGACAGACACACAGCGATAGAGGCAGAGAGGCACAGGCAGAGAGCAGGCTGTTAGGGCAGGAGCTTTTTGAAGGGTGTGTGTGTGTTGTATTTGGTGGCTGATTATGCATCCCTGGAGGCAGACTGGGAGATCACCTGGATCCTAATAGCAAGATCTTCATCTGCCTTAACCTCAAGCTCAACAGTTTGCTTGATGGCAAAATGTTGATTACTGTGGTGTTAACATAGAAGAAGTATGCGCTAAATGTCCATTGCTGTCTTTTAATATTATGGTACTGTCATTACTGTATTTTTACTTGTGCGTTTCAAGTACTAAACTGCTTGAATTTAAATACTGGAGTATCAAAGAACTATCTTCATGTACGTTTTAATAGTTTTTTTTTAAATCTTATAAAATTTGTTTTAAAGTTATTACATTGCTCAAAGTAGTTTTATAAGAAGATATTTGATTAATATGACACAACATTTGGATTAACATATTATTATTATGTGAGAAATGAAAATACCAGCAGGACTAAATTTAGAATGAGAACACTTATGAGAACACATTCTCTGTAGCACACTTAGCATTCAAGGATCTCACATTGTATTCAAATGGGGAATAGTGTGCACACTAACAACCCGAAACAATACACATGGCCGCAGCTGCTGTCTGAGAACACTCTGTTGCCCTCTAGTGGACGGCACTGCTCAGACGCCCCTTCCTGCATTTGAAATTCGACACTACCCCATTTGAAAATATTATTTGTCTTTTTAATGCTCACAGATCAGAAACGGGGAGTATAGCCAGAGTATACACATACCTACCTGTGCTCTCTGAGTTTTCTAAAAAAGCTTTTGTCAACCTTGTTTGTGTTCTGGGTTTCTCACCTTCCCTTTCACTGACGGCAGAATCGATGTGATGATGTACGTAGTGATTGTCAGTGTGTAATTACATGTCATGGTGTGCATTGTGTTTGCTTGGGAAATGGGGGTGCTATGTTAACTGTTTTTAATGATCCCTAAACTATTACCACTTTTAAAGAACCCTGAGTTACTTTTGAGTACTTATTTTATTAGTGACACTTCCACCACAGCAAAAGGTGTTTGTTTTAAATCTACTATCTTCTTAAATAGTGATACGGTAATTTTGATTCTAAAAGATTGACACTGTTTTTTTGGGGTCTTGAAGTTATGATCTTGCCTGGGGAAGCTTTGGCAGTGCTTCAGAAAAACGGGCAAAAGTTTGTAAAGAAGGAAAGAGATAATTTGTGAAGATCCATGTTTCAAGAATGACTTTCTGCCTATAGAGTTATGAAATGATAGACTCTTAGACCTAAATGGGCTAGCCTTCGCATCTTCCCAAAGGGAATACCAGAGTCAGATCCAAATGGACTAACCTTAGCATCTTCCTAAATGGAAATATCTGAACCAGGGAAATCTCTTGGACTCCATGTCTGTGCCTGATTTTGTTGCTGAGTCCAGTCTTTCATTTCCTCCTTGGATTCTGACCACAGCTGCAGAGATCAAAGCTGGTGTTGCAGGGTGACTTCTGCCAGAGGACTTCCTTGTATTCTGTTTTTTTTTTCTCTCTTATGTCAATAGGATATCCTTCCCCGAGCCTTTGATGCTTGAATTGAGCATTTATTTCAAAATTTTAATCATTTATAAGCACAGTTCACTTTTTATCTTTTCATATGTATTTATTCCCCTCTTTGCATTTCCAGAGATACAAATTTTAAATTAATAAAATTCTAGGCTATGACTATGGTAACTGATAGGTAACTGATCTTATGTCTAGTCAGCTTCTTAACTCTTACCTGTGCTAACTATGGGTTAAGAGATTAGATTCTGAACAAATTTAGCTCATTTCTTGGCCTTTTTCCCCCCTGTATTGCTTTCAGGCACTTAACCCCTTTCTTTGTGCCATGGTTTTCTCATGGGTAATTGGAATTAAGAAATAAAAATGTAGTATGTTTATGTTATATTAAATCATGTGTGATAACCTAGCCATGATTTAAAGCCAAATGCTCAGGAGAATGTACACAAAATCATCCATAATGTTAGGTGCTGTTATGTGTTGTCTTCTTCTTTCAAACTATGCTACCCTAGTCAGCAACTCCAGCTCCACCTCTACCAGCGGGGGCGAGGCCACAAGAGCCTTAGCTAGAGAAAATTCTTTTC